AGCCAATGAGAACATATTGTTCATTTCATAAAGAGCCATAACAATGGAGACCCTAAACTGTATCAAACAAGAATAGAAAACAATTTCACTTTCAAAACTACAGCAGTGTCTCCTCAGTTCCCAAACACATACAGAGTGTTGTTAAAATAAGAGGTGATGAAACACAGTGGTAAACACGCCCCCTAGAACCTGTTGTTGGCATCAAACTCAAAATGGGCATATTGTTTAAAAACAATAAAACTTTTCAGTTTCAGCATTTGATATGTTGTCTTTTTAGTATTGTCCTTTAAAGTATGGTTTACATGATTTGCATATCATTGTGTTGTTTTTCTATTTACATTCTGCAGAGCGTCCCACCAATCATTTACATTTGAGGAAATATTAATACCAAGGTCCCTAACAGACTGTGTGACATGTTTACATGGAATGTCTTGGACTTTGTCATCCCAGTTGAATTTATTTAACGGCAGAAACTCGGATTTGGACCGATATAAATAACCAGACACCCTGCTATATTTGTCTATCAGATTGTGGACTGATAGGAGGGTTAAGGATCAATGATGTACAGTAAAACATTGCCTGTGTAGAGGCGAAGAGAAAGAACCACTCTAGTCTATCAAAGGCCTTTTCAGCATCCAGAGATGCTTTTATACATCATGATATATTTGGAGAGTTTTCACGGTTATATTTCTTAATTAGGTTTAATATTCTACATGTATTCTCTGAGGACTGTCTCTCTTTGATGAACCCAGGTTGATCTGTTCTTATGAGAATGGATATCACTGATTCCAATCTGATTGATTAAGCGTTACCTATGATTTTTATATCTGAGTTGATCAGTGAAATGGGACAGTAGCTGGAGCAATCTGCAGATTATCTGATAAATGTGATAAGAGTGGTGTTCATATGATAAGGTATGGATGCATTTTGAAAGTTCTAAGATTACTTTCAAAAAGATAATGATTTTACCAGAAGTATCTGAGAATGCTGTTATTATTAACTTATTTCCTGGTTTAACTGATTTGCTAAAAATGTTCTACTTTTGTTTCCAAGTTCACTTTTTCAAAACTCTTCACACCCCTCTCTGCAGAAATAACCTTAACCCTCTACAGATATAAAACACTGCAGAGACCTCTCACAATAATAATAATAATAATAATAATAATAATAATCTCCATCAGAACATCCACCGTAGTGTTCTTACTAAAGGACTTCTTTATCAATCAGAGCACAGTCACCTCACAAGCACCAACAGCTGCTGGCGTTAAGGCAGATCCACTGTTCTATGTTAATCTATGGAGTGGTGAAGGATCGTTTGCTCTGTTGATTTGTTTTGTATTGTTATTACTTATTGTTTGGTGGCTCATGTAACTGATTTGAAGTGTTTTTGAGATTTGAACTGATGAACAAAAATCAATATTTTACATCTGAACTGAAATTATTTTGCATTGTTTCATTACAGTTTTAGGTTCTCTTTTTAAGGCTGAACTGACTTTTACAGTGAATGTAAAAAACCTTGATACTTTAGAAGAGAAAAACTGTAAAAAACAAAACGGTTTATCTTTGTGTTGGAACAAATGAAGTAAGAGAAACTAAATAATCATGTAATTTACATTATCGAGCAAAGAAAATAAATCCAAGTCACAGATGCAGTACATGCTGAGTTTAACTGCATGTGCCCCTGTAAATCACTCTTAATGTATTATCACTTCAAAGTGTTGTTTTGTAAGTGGATATTCCTCCCTCTAAACCAAAAAAAAACAAAAAAAAACAACAACAAACACAATTAGCAGACAGTCTCCGTTACTACCAGCTGCACGTAATTGGATGCATATGACACAAGAATGTGTAGTGGATAAAGGCTAAATGTGCTTTGTTTGTTTGTTTGTTTGTTTGTTTGTGATGGTAACATATACATGGAGATTCACTGGAAAGAGGCCCTGAATACTCTGTTGTAACTCCCGGTAGGATGAAGCAATCTGAACCAAAAATTACCCTACATATCTTGACGTCTGTGTAATCGATTGCATTACATGCGATGCTGGAAGTGATCTCTGTTTTCTGTCAGACACATGAAGGGGTACGGGGGTTAAACATGGCGATGGCTGTCCGGCGCCTACCTCATCACTCCGACGCAGGGTGTTCGAAGCTCCATATTCTGAGGAGCACATTGCATGTTGTTTTGTTTAGATTGCTTCGTCCTAGAGAGAGTTATTACAGAATATTCGGGGCCTCTTTTAAGTGAATCTCGAATGGGAAAACATTTGTTTTACCTGTTTGCTCTTTGTGGAGCAAACACCTTTTGTATGGCTTGGAGCCGTTTTCTTGCTCAAGCCTTCTTTTGGTTTTTAAGTGGTTTTGGGGCAATTTCTCACTTTTGTTTTTCCAGCCCTCTTTTCTTTTCTTTTTCCTTTCCTTTTCATTTAAATACCCACCTGGGCTGAGTACCGTACCGGTCACTCCTTTACAAAGGTGTGACAAAGGGCTGCCGTTTGCCACAGCCTTAAGTAGAGGCGTCCACAGGTTTGCCAGGTTGGGCCTAATCAGCCCAAGAGCTTCTGGGAATTGGAGTTCCCTGAACTTACGGCATCTTGCTGTCGTCGCCCTCTGCTGGCGCCAGGCTGCGCAGGCTGGGCCTGTACATGTATATGTAACAGAATACCTTCCTTATTGTCATATATTAAGATAATTCTGGATTAAAATAGAAAACATGAGCTTAAAAAGCCAAAACATAACATTTTAGGGTTAAATTTAAAATGTGCCTCAGTTTCAAATGAGTGTGAAAGTGATTCTCCACAAGTTTTAGCTGAACTTATTTTACTACCTATTGTCTTTTCTTTCTCTGTGGTTTTTAATTCACACTGCAAAGCACTTTGAGCTGCATTTTAAATAAAATAAGGATATTTTATAAATAAAGTTTACTATTATTATTAGTAGTAGTAGAATTTTATGTTCATTTTCAGTGTAGATGGTTTTCCACTATGTTTTACCTTTCAGTGTGAGGAAATGCACATAAAAATAATAGAAAATAATAACATTTATCAGACCATGTACAGAAAGAAGATATACATTCTAAATTCTACCCAGTGTTTTGTATTTGCCTTCTCTATCCTCATTAGTCCTCTCTAAACATCACTGTTAACCCCAAGTTCAAAACTGAGGGGTTCCCTCAATACGGCAACCCAGGGTTTTATGAAAGCCAGCCTCTGTGCAGCCACACTGAGGGAAGCAGTGCAGCGCTACATGTTGGTGGGATCTGATGAACACTCCATGTTGATTTCAGAACTGAAAGTAGAAAAGGAGAACTGAGCAGTTCTGCTGACTTAACAGAAGATTTTGTTGGTTAATACAGAATAGATTCAGTGACCA